GTTCCCCCAGAGCCCCCCCGAGCCCCATCCTCCCGGGGCTGCTCCCCAGCAAGGCTGTTTAACTGCTTTGATTTTCTGACACACCCAATGCAGCCGCAGCCCGTCCCCACTCCCCTAGCTCCAGCACTGCCGGTTTGGGGAGGGGGCAGCAGCCTCAGCCCCCACATTTGCTTAGATCCCCCTCCCACCCCCTGCAGATGGATTGCTCTTTCTGCCCCCGATGGGGCCAGCAAGGCAAAGCCAGCATGAGAGGCCTGAGCCGTGTGCTGGGCTGGCCCGTTTCACGCTGGCAGCCGCAGCCCGTCCCCACTCCCCTAGCTCCAGCACTGCCGGTTTGGGGAGGGGGCAGCAGCCTCAGCCCCCACATTTGCTTAGATCCCCCTCCCACCCCCTGCAGATGGATTGCTCTTTCTGCCCCCGATGGGGCCAGCAAGGCAAAGCCAGCATGAGAGGCCTGAGCCGTGTGCTGGGCTGGCCCGTTTCACGCTGAGCTAATGGTGCTGGCTCAGCAGGGAAGAAGTGAGCGGTGCCCAGGAAAGCTCATGATCCCATCTACGTGTGTTGTTGGGCTGTAAAGTGCTACCAGACTATTGGTTGTTTGTTAAGTTTCTCCTGTACAGACGAACTCGGCTCCCCCTGGAGCCCCGGACCCAGAGACCATTAACGTGTGTGACGGGGGGTGGTCCTCAATGAGCTCATCAAGCCACTGTCACCTGCCTTCTTGCTCTCTGGGGCTCCTCACCACCATGTCCTGCGGGTCCAGATCCTCTGCTCTCCCCTAGAGCAGACACAGACTTGAGGTAACTGCCCCCTACAGAGCAACGCACTGATCCAGTTCAGCTCTGGGAGGATACAATTCTAGGGCTCAGTACCCAAGAAACCAACCCCCCAAAAGGGCTCAAGCCCCCAGGCTATGTCTACACTGCACTGTTCTTCCAGAAGAGGTACACAAATTGCAAGCCGCAATTTGCATAGCTTTTTCCACTTTTTTCGGAAGAGGCTTTTCTGACATTTGGCCAATCTACACTGGGCCAAATGTTAGAAAAAACCCTTTTTCGGAACCTCCCTTCTTTGTTGTAAAATGGGGTTTACAGGGATGCCGAAAAAAGGGTCTGAGCAGATGCGTTCCTTGGATGTGGCAAGAGTTTTTCCGGGATACGTCTGGTATCCCGGAAAAACTCTGCAGTGTAAACATAGCCCCCGAGAAATCTGCCCTTCTCTGAGTAAAAACTCTAGGTGAGGAAAGCTCATGAGGATGTTCACACTCTTTATCAATGAAAGAAAGAGAGAGAGAAGCACACGGATTGCTATCCCCAGGTTACAATTATTTACACTGGGCTCCATAGCAAATAAAAGTATTGTTATTAAGTACAAGCAGTGGAATGTAAGTGGTTGCAAGTGAAACCAGATGGATCAAAGTAAGTTACTAAAATAAAATGAAAAGAAAGTGCACGGCTAATTCTAATTTACTAAAAAACCTACTGCAAGCAGATTCTTACCCCAATGAGCTGTTTTTGTTCATAATCATCAGGTCAGAGACAGCCTATTTAGCTTGACCTGGGTCCCCAGCCCTTTTTGGAGTGTGTCGTGCAAGCCAAAGACAAAGGCCCAACAACTTTCCCTTGGATAAATATTCTTCTCCCCAGGGCAGGAATTTTTTGTTCTACATTCC